TGTGCAGTAGCTTCATTAGTGCGACGCACGCTGCGTGACGTTGTGATAATGCTCTGAAGGGGGAGTGATTTACAAGAGTAAGTGCACAGGGCAAAGCGTCAAAACCTAAACTGAAACTTATTTAACACGTTAATACATTGTTTTAGCAAATATAACACATTCAAACTAACACTATTTTTAGGACTTGAGACTTGACTTGATAAAATAGAGGGATTAGAGGAATAGAACAGAGGGATTTGACTTGGACTTGAGGCCTTTGACTTAAGAAGACTTGATGCTTCTCCTAAAAAAATAAATAAAATGTTCTTAGAAAATACTTTTGTCTTTACAGTTGATATATGCATTGCTGATGTTTGTTACTTTGGATGTAATGAAGTACTGTGATGTGTTATCCTCAAATGTACTACAGTAATATACAGTACACTACAATAATATACAGTACAATAAAATACTATACAGTACAATACAGTAATATACAGTACAATACAATACTATACAGTACAATACAGTAAAATGCAGTACAATGCAGTAATATACAGTGCAATACAGTGCAATACAGTACAATACAGTAAAACTGAGGGAGCTACATAGAACATGATCCTTCCATTTCAGTGCAGACGACACGACAAAATAACTCTTATTGAGCACTTTTAAATCTTAATTCTTTCTTCTCTGACCGTAATGATTCACACTACGATCTTGTCAAGACATTTAAAAAGGACAAAATCAGCATTTCTACAACTTTTATATAAATATACCACTTTTTACAATTTAGTTAAAATTCATATAAATTGCAAAAAAAAAAGGCAATATTGGTACTTTGGTTTAAAGACTTGCAATGACTTAAAGCTCAAAGCAAATGGCTTGGACTTGACTTGGATTTATGGGGCAGTAACTCGAGACTTGACTTGACTTGGGAGTTGACTCACACTTGAGTCAAAGACCTGAGATTGACTGACTGACTGGAGACTTGAGATAAATTCTTCATGGACAGAATATGTTCTTTGTCGACCTTGTTGGTTGAAGATTTGGTGATGTGGCAGATTTATGAAGCTGGTGGAAAACACACGAGACATTTCCACAGAGATTTCGCCATAGAAAACCATTAACGTAAGTGGCGTTTACTCTACATCGCGACACTTCCGACCGTTGTGAAAAAGTCTATTGAATAAATGTAAGAGCTGTTTAAAGCCGTACTGTTGAACATTCCAGGCAGAGCAGTGACGTATCCAAAGAAACAAGCAGTAACCCCTCACCAAAGAGTTACACAGTGCATCTGTAATTAGACTAATAAAGGTTTAGTTATTACAAAATAGGACATACACTATGCCTTTTTGCACCACTCTAATTTCACTAAATGTACAGGTATGTAAAGGCTACGTTCAGACTGCAGCCTGAAGTGACCCAAATCCAATTTTTTGGCCCCTGTGACCTGTATCTGATCTTTTAATGACAGTCTGAACGACACAGGTCAGATTTTTTCAAATGCGACCCAGACCGCATGGATATGTGCTCCTAAAACCGATACATATCTGATATTTTGACATGTGACTTCAGTCTGAACGGCCATTCATCCCACCTACACGTTATCAACAAGCAACAAACATCACTATTCTGCACTGAAGTAGGTGGAAAATTTAAGAAAACTGTTAATGAACTCCACAACTCCCCACAAAACGCCACGGCCAAAAACCTCGTCCTTCTCCTTCTCAATCTCCTCCTTAAAACAAGTAAGTTGTTCATGTTCTGGCTCCGGTACGAGAGGAACTTTAAAATCTCCAGGTGCTGAATGCTCGCGTCCATGTTTGGACAACTTCCGTAAACACAGAGCACGCTCAGCTGCGGTTGACGTCGTTGTGTCCTCCAGTGCATATGCGGGACACTTTTGGGCCATTTAATGTTCACACTGGAGTCACATACAAGTCACATTTAATTGGAAATGTGAACGACCTCGCAAAAACATCGGATTTCACAAAAAAATCCAAATTGAGCATAAAGCCCTGCAGTCTGAACGTAGCCAAAGTTATATTATCAACCTTAGTTTTTTTGTCCTTTTTTGTTCAACAGATGCTGCATTAAACTTAAGCATTTGCAAATATGTTTTGTGTTCAAGGACATATTGTACAAAATGTTGTTTTTCAAAGGGGGTGCACTCATTTATTCTGAGCACCGTAAGTATGAAAAGTGCAAAACAATCTTTACTTTTCTAGAAAAACGAACCAGTTGAAATGGTGACCCTCTTCTGTAAAAGTTACCTCCTCTTCACTCTCTGTACTCTTCCACTGCGCTATTAAACAAACCGAAGCAACATTTCCACAAACTACCGAATTGCTGTAAGTGCGTTCCACCAAAGGATGATGAAACAGTCTCCCGCAGAGGGTCTCACCGCGCGCCGGACTTAAGTGGAGCTGGAGGAGGAGAGAGGCGAGATTAGGCCTGATTTAACCATTCATCATCGGGCCAACCTGGTCCCATACCCGCGTTTGGGCGAGGGGGGCACCTGCTCGGGCGCTGCTTTCTCCGTTCTTACATCATTTATCAAGATGAATGCTCCGGTACAATCAGGCGTACACAGGCACACGCGGGCTAAATGTGGAAGGTAAGGGGATAAGAGACTACAGTTAAATATTGAGGTGAACTCATTTATCTGCTTACGATGTAGGTTTTGTGAGGTGATTATGCAACAGTAAGGATCCTGGTTAGTGTGCGTGTTTGAGATGAGGTGGGGGGTTGAATCCCTGTATCATTCGTTTATTCGTGTTTCAAAATAAAACCAACGTATAAGGAAATGAAAAAAATATATATATTTTTTTTTCTTCAATATTTGTCTCCAAAACTAAAATGAAAAAGTGGATAACGATTTGTTTTGTTCAGTTTTCGTGACTTAAACTGTGATGCTGGACTTTTGTGCCGCATATGGACTGAACTGAACCAGGGCTGATACTAGGACTGAACCAGAACTAAAAGAGGACTATGACAGGACTATGACAGGTCTTAATCAGGTCTAAACCAGGACTGAACCAGAACTGAGTGTTGGAAAGGGCCCGAGGTGCACCCGTGTACTGTGGACAAGACCAGGACCAGACCGGGACTGAGACCAGGACCAGGACAGGGACCAGGACTGAGACCGGGACCACATCAGGACTGAGACCGATTTAATCACATATTTAACACATATTTAAATCAATAACATACCTTTGTGCCTCTTCAGAGGAGTAGCTAAATAAAGGTATATAAAATACCTGAAAAAATATATAAATATATTTGGTCCGTATAATGTCTTTTGCGATATATCAAGCTAATTAAACATTTGTACACTAACCGGAAATAGACTCTTCAAAATAAAAGCTCTAAAGGTAAAAGCCGAAGTTATTGGTTAACAACAGAAAATAGAGGGCAGTATAAAAATTTAAAAAATGTCAGAAGAGGTTTTAACAAAGGCAAATGATACTCTGGGTTATTTACAGCACTTCTGAACTAAAATCTGATTAATTACCATTGAAAATGTATCATTTTAATGCCTAACGTGTGCATTAATAAATAGATAATGGCTTATAGAAATGTAACAATAATATAAATAACATTATTAATAATATTGTGATATCATATCCTCAAAAGTCTCACAATAATATCGTGGCAGCAAATATATCAATTATACATTCTTTTGCTGAATGCATGGTTTTATAGTA